GTTTTGCTAAACCAAAGGCCACCCTGGTTCTCCACGTTCTTCTTTACTTCTTTGTCATTTGCAATGGTTAGTTGACTTGAGGTTGAGTTTGACTGATTATTAACAGCGCAGTGCTTCGAAATTTGCTCAGTGCTTTTGGGACATCTTCGGATCTGTGGTACAGAATCAATGTCAGAGTAGGGACTGTCCAAAGCTTCCATAATCTTATCCTTCTCACAAAGAAATTCCTCAGATTTTTTTCTCTTTCTCCGTTTCTTTTTGTTTTTAGACCCCTGATTATGTGGTAAGGTGTTCAGATGGTCTTTTTGTGTAACTGTTCCATTGGTCAGAGGACTAAAGTTGGGTAATTTCACTGGCACGGACAATTTGTTTTCTGTGTTATTTGAAGTTCCTTCAGAGATTGTTTTGGTGAAGTCTGAGCAGGGAGTGGTGACCCTTGGCTTCTCCAGGAGAAGTGCTTCTGCTTCAACCACACTAGCTCTCCAAGAGTTCAGAAAACGCTTGGGTATCTGCAAAGTAACCCAAGAGTAACAATTTCACAAGGGTTTTAAAAAGGTGTCATAATATCCATTTAACTGAAAGGATGTTTCAGAAATTACAGAGTGTCTGGTGTTTTCATCTTGTTGGCGTCCACTTCCTCTCACAAAAGGGAGATTGTTAAACTGATATCCACCCACAAATATATGAGTAGATTGCTCAGGGACCCATGCCTGTTCTTCAGGTTCCCCAAATGTCTTGAGGAAATACTGACGATTGGTCCTATTTGGTGGCTCTGAAACATAATCGCACAAAGAAATGTAAGGAAGGATAATTAGATTTTTCTGGATAGATTATGTGGGGGCAAAAGCCATTGAAAAAGTTGAGAATATGGTTCATAACGTTAGGAATGGGTGTTCTGTGGTTTTATGTCTTCTGTGTTACTGTACTTACCTTTAATTCTGTGGTAAACTCCCTCAACTGGGTGAACAGTCACCTGACATGGCCACCATGGTCTACGGTTGAATTTAGCCCATATTACTTCACCCTCCAAATATTTCACTGGTGGTAGAGCCTTTGTTTTTAATTTTTTTGTCTGCTGGTAGACATCATATATAAATTAGTTGAATTTACAGCTGAATATTTTCAGTATCACCTACAAAAACTTTTTTTTTTTTTTATATACATTTCATGATTCATTCAGAATTTTAGCATATGCATTTTATGAGAATATATCTCAAAGTTATTATATTAGTAAATACTTAATTTTTCTCTCTCTCTGGTCAAAGACCTGCCTATGCAAGAATGCACATGTATGGTCAGACTGAAAATACAAAAATAAAACCACACAATTATTTGCTTAATGGCATTTGATGCAAAATATATACTCTCCCAAAGCATAAGAAGAGTTTCGAAATTGTAAAAATGTACTGCTCTCTAAGCTAATACAATGAAAATGGTATCCGTTTTTAAGATTTTACATGTTCTCATTTTTAAGAGCTAGTGCCACAGTTGATTGTAGTATGAGGAGATGTCTAAAATATTGGTAGTGGTTTGATGTTGGGGATGGTGGGATAGAACCAGAACTTGCCATTATAATCCCAGCAGACCTGCTCACAAGAGAAGAAAGCCCACAATCACTTGTAGACTTGTCTTTAAATACAGCTTTTTGCCCCAGAGATGTTCGAGCATTTGAAATTTTGTTTCTAGACTTGACACCCAATTTTGTCTTCAAATTTGCATTTGTTGTATGTTCTTTCGTTGAGCCACATGATGCTCCTTCTAGTTGAGACTCCATCTCTGGATCCATAGCTTCATCCTCGTCCTCATCTTCAAACAGTATTGACTCAAAGTGCAGTCCATTTGCAAACGGACTGGATGAGTCCAGACTAAAATCAGGGCTGGGTGGGGACGTGCAGCTGTCAGTCAAAGCTGCATCCATTTTGAGACGGATGTGTCAACAACTTAGTCTGGCTACCACGCCCCCTGAGTTCCTTGTGTGCACACTGTCCCATAAGCCTTGTGGGTCCCTGTCAGGCAGAGGCAGGTCCTGATTCTCAAAGGTCAGACTTCTAAGGCTTCTCTAGGGATGATAAGTGAGTAAGCTTTGACTCTTAAACTTTAACCCATAGACAGAGGAGACAGGAAGGTCGAGGGTTAAAGCCAAGTGTCTGTCTGCTGGTTGGTGATGTTTTCCATGTACTTTCTAGTGGATCAGTCACCTGTGGACAGGTACGGGGCAATGTGTTGCATTACTGAGAGTATGCACATGTGGGCGAATCATAATGGCACTGCTTCATTATCTGAAAAACAAATTTGTATATGCATATAAACATTCACTTCATCTCTGTGTAAAAAACAATTAGTGCTTAACAATTCTAAAATGCTGATAATAATACACACCACTCAAAAGTTTTCACCGAAAAACCTCTTAAAAACGCATTTAGATTTAAAAGGTTAAGCTTAAATGCTTGAAATTAGATCAGCAGACAAATTTGTGTGTGCTTTTGTGAAAACGCATCAAAATTGTATAAATAGTAAGGTATTGTAGTAATAGTAAATGAGAGCTGCCAACAAGTGACCAGCTTTGTTGTTTACATGTTTATGTCTTTTAACTACATATAAAATATATAATTAATTTATGTGTATATAATGACATATTTGCACGTGTTTATTAATTATTATGCTGGAAATGTTGGGCTAAGATCAGGACTTTGTCTTGGCTATTCCAAAACATTACATTTCTTCTACTTGAACCTTTCAATGGTAGACAAGCTACAAAAGTAGTGTTTAGAGCGGTGGTCTAGCCGCAGGAAAACGTCCTTATTCATTTTAAGAGAATTCGTTTTTCTGGTATAAGGCAGAATTCATAGTTCCAACAATGATGGCAAGACGGGCAAAGCAGCCCAAACCATTAAACTGCCGCCACTGTGCTATACGGTTGGGATGACGTTCCCATTTTTGAATCAGTCTTCTCCACATGTAATAGTTCATTAAAACCAAAAAGCTCTATTTTGGACTCTGTCCACAAAATACATTTCCATTAGTCTTCTGGCTCATCCACATGATATTTGCCAGGTAGCATTGTTCTTCTCGTTGAAGCAATAGCATCCTCCTTGCTATACTTCATGTCTACCTGATGGTGGACTCACAAACCTTAGCCAATGTCGTGAAGATCTTTAAGATGTTACCTTGAGGTTCTTTTTGACCTCCTTGAAAATGATGTCCTGCTTTTGGAGAGACTTTTGTAGTCTACCAATTATTTGTAGAGTAAGAGTGTCTATTTGGATTCTGCGTAGATTTTTGAAACCCCACTCTATAGAAATAACTTTTGCAACTCTTTTGAAATCTCTTTTGACCAGACACTGATAGAGACAGAGATCCCATTATCAGAACCCCCCCCCCCCCCTTTTTTTTTTACTGAATCATTAATTACTGAATTATTATGATCAGGTAATTCTAGATGTCAATATCCTTTCTCCAAAAAAATATTTACTCCAGAATCATTTTGCTAAATAAATAAGTGGAATATACAACATGAGCAAATACAAATATTTGTTTGTAATTTATTTAATTGGATTATACTCATATGGAGATTTGTTTACAATGTAGGGTACATTTTATGTTGAAATAAAGAAATGTCTTAAGCGTTCACAAAGTTTCTAGCGCGACTGTACGTTCGAAGCCGATTAATAACGTACTGCTTACTATTCCTATTAGGGGCAGTATAGGATACCATTTCGAGCATACTCCATAAACACAGGAACCCAGCAATGAAAGCGGGGGGCACATATATGACAGAGCGAAGATTGAACTCTGACTGGGCACAATTCACATGAAGAAGTACAACATGATGAGATACAGTAATGACATAACGTTACATGTAAAACTGGCAGCGCTGGGCTCATTGTCACGCGTGCTAATCTCATTAATATTTATATGATATATGAATAAAATCGCTTTCCCGAACAAACATCAGCACGAGTTCATAGAGTTACATCGGTCTTCTTAATATGTCGTTATTTTAAAAACATACAAAATGTGATGCCTAAGGAAACACCGATGGAATCTTACCATTTACATGTTGGCCAATGTCACTGAAATGGAAAACTCTTCGTTTGTGCGCGTCAAATGACCTTTTTTCCCAAATTGTGAAAGTGGATCAAGAAAATCCCAGCCGCAGCTGCAGTAGTAGGCCAGAGAACCTAAGAACACATTCATACTATCATCACTCTACCCCTTTCAAATAAAAACACATCAAACACATGCATTAGAACACTCACACAGAGAGGAACCTTTCCAGTGCGCGATGTCTGAGTCACAACCTACCTCTTGGGTTACGATACGGACGCTGTACTTTTCATTTTCAATGATTATGGTTTCCTTGCTGTCGACCTGCCCCTGGTTGTTTCAAGCCCGTGACTGTATGTCTATGAACAGCAGCCAATCGGCACGGCAACCCAACCCCCTGTGAGAGGAGCTCCCCTCAACTCCTGTGCTTCACTTTATCCCAAAATACAATTATACATTTCACAAAACGCTCAAATGTACGTTTAAGCTAACATTTGGTGTCCTATTAATAATATTTGACCACTCCCTTGCAAGAAACTGAGCTCTTGTACCGAGCTAACATTTCTACCCTCAAGAGGTATTTTCCTTAAATCATATATAATCCTATTCTGAAATAAACCTATGCATTTAACACAAACCCGGAAACACTCGGAACCGTATGAAAATACGCGATTTTATTGACGTTCAGCGCTCTTGATCATTCAAGATGGAGTCTGCCGTGTGCTGACACAGGCCACAAAGTGTTAAATTTCGATTTGAAGTAGGGCTTTATACATTCTGGAAGTTGTGAGTCGTTTTCAAAAACGCCTTTTCGCATTAGAGTTGATTAAATGTCAGTGCGCGTTAAGATATGCACGTGCTTTCAGCAGTGCTGCGCAATAAACAATGGCATAGTGCTATATACATTTGTATATAAGAGTTTTTTTTGTAACAAACAAGGCATAGAGAAATACCGCATGCAACGCAGCACAAAGCACTTCTCTGTTTCATTCAATCACATTTCTAACATATGAAAATGACATCGAACCTGTGTTGATCCTTATTTGGACGTGTAAACATGTAAACGGCGCATTTGTTTTCCTGCTCTGCCGTTTGTTTTATTTATTTTTTTCTGAGGAGAGGGAAAATGGAGGAGTCCGACACCATCTCGACGTTTGTGGCCGAGTTTAATCTCGTGTGAGCGTGTGAATATAACACTGGAGGGATTTAATGCGACGAGCAGACAGATTTAGGTAACGTACCGTTTAAATATGTAACAGCGAAAAACATATCTGGTGCTTAGCAACATGTCTGTTCCAAATCCTGCACAACTCAAACCCCTTTGCTTAATAGTCCCGTGAGGTTTATTAAAAGGGAGGGCGTGTTTGAGGTAAGGGAACCGTTATCATGTCGACAGACGACGTCGTTAAAGAGGTTTCTCGCTAGCACCTCAAAAGGTGATTTGCGAAAGATGTCAAAATTAGTGTGGAGCTGAGGGAGAAAGTGTTTCAGCGCTGTCTGTGTGGGCCTGCTGCTTTCCGCTTCGCCTGAACAGCGCCGCACCTGACAGAAAAGACACCCGAGCTACAGTTACGTTTCCCAACCTCGCTTTTAACCTATCTTATTGTTTCTCTGGCAATTTTAAAGCGAGTAAATACAGATTTCTCAGTCAGATATGTCAGGCTGCTGTACATTTAGCCTAATTCAACGCACTGGCATATATTGCACACTGACTGAAATGAATGATTACTAATCGATATGAATCATTTGACTTTTCTGACCAGTGTTGGGGAAAGTTACTTTTAAAAGTAATGCATTACAATATTGCGTTACTCCATAAAATGTAACTAATTAGGGTACTTAGTTACTTTTTATGGAAAGTAATGCGTTACGTTACTTTTGCGTTACTTTTAAAATCTGGACAGGGCTTGCTTGTTTGTTTTTAAATTAAAAAATAAAATTCTATTTCTGTTTTTGGCAAATATAAAAGCCTTTTCACACCAAAAGTGAA